TTACTCTTTTTCTTTGAGTGAGCCATATTTTTGTGTCTTCTATGTCTTGTGATTTTGTTCTTGTTCTTGTAAGTGGACATTTAAATATAACCTGGTAACTCTGGAAATCAGACTCTTCCCCTTTCTCAGGGTTTGATATTCTTTTGATTTTTTGGGTTTGTTTTTAAATGTTAGAAGGCACGTGTATATACAAAAGAAAAAGAGAGGGAAGGGGGAGGGAAGAGGAGAGAGAATACCCTCTCTTAGCTTGCTAAAGAGACAGGACCAGGTCATATTGCAATCCTTTTTTCCCCACTTCTTGATCCTGTTAGGATCTTAGATATGTGTGTGTGCCTGCAAAGACTTAACAGGGTCTAGATCAGACCTTTAGTTAGCTATGTAGGATCCATCTTTCTTATCATAGCACCTAACTATTGTGCCACAGGGCCAGTCCTATTTTTTGTTACTGATTTTTTTGATTGATTCTTGTAGGCTCTCAATGTGCCAGGGTTTAGTCTGAACTAAACTTAAGGTCTTCTCTCGTTTTTTCTGAGCCTGTATCATTTCCTGGACATGCCTGGCCATTTTCTAATTTTCCACATATGTACATTTACTTCTTAGTTCTTTATGTATAGCTCTTAAAGAGGAAAATGAGAAAAAAAAAAATGAGGATGGAAGAAAAGGTGCTGACCCTTTGAAATCTATGGCAGTCACTTCAGCCTGAGAGAGAATGTTAGAAGGCACGTGTATATACAAAAGAAAAAGAGAGGGAAGGGGGAGGGAAGAGGAGAGAGAATACCCTCTCTTAGCTTGCTAAAGAGACAGGACCAGGTCATATTGCAATCCTTTTTTCCCCACTTCTTGATCCTGTTAGGATCTTAGATATGTGTGTGTGCCTGCAAAGACTTAACAGGGTCTAGATCAGACCTTTAGTTAGCTATGTAGGATCCATCTTTCTTATCATAGCACCTAACTATTGTGCCACAGGGCCAGTCCTATTTTTTGTTACTGATTTTTTTGATTGATTCTTGTAGGCTCTCAATGTGCCAGGGTTTAGTCTGAACTAAACTTAAGGTCTTCTCATGTTTTTTCTGAGCCTGTATCATTTCCTGGACATGCCTGGCCATTTTCTAATTTTCCACATATGTACATTTACTTCTTAGTTCTTTATGTATAGCTCTTAAAGAGGAAAATGAGAAAAAAAAAATGAGGATGGAAGAAAAGGTGCTGACCCTTTGAAATCTATGGCAGTCACTTCAGCCTGAGAGAGAACAGCTTACAATAATAATGGGTCCTCTCTTCTTTGTCTGCACCTCAGTTACCAGAAGCATCAGTCTGGTCAGAACATAGATCCCTGATATTTTTGCCCACTTTGGCCCCCAGAGGCTGTTGTAAGCTGCTCCAGGTACACGTGCACAGCTGTGTGCCATGAGGCTGAGGGGTAGCAGTTAGTATACTAAGATCTGAAATGGACTCAGATTAACTCCAGTTTATTGTTCAAGCCTGCCACCGGAGGTTTCAGGACTTCAATAGACGCCAGAGTTCCAGAATAGTTACATCAGACAGATTCTTCCAGTGCAGTCATTGTCTAGATGGGCAGATAGGTTCCTTGTGCTTCCTACTCCACCATCTTCTCAGAATCCTCCCTTGTTCCTTTGATTTATGTGAGACCATATATGCCTGATTTTTCCTGTTGTCCTCTCTGCCCCTTTTCTTTGTATTCCAAAAGATTCTGTCCTTGGCCCACTTTTTGAGAAATTTAGTTCTCTTAAAGCCTAAACAGTTTCAAATCAACTTTATATAGATGATTTCCTATGAATAACTGCTAGTTCTGACCTAACTTCCAGACTGTAGATCTCTATTGGTTGTGTACTGACCATCTCAGTTTTGTTGTCCTGTGAATACCTGATGTGGTTTGTCAGCCTAAATGTTTTCTTTGCACAAGTCTTTTTCTTTTTTTGTTGTTAGTAGTGTCTCTAATCACCTTTTTTTAAAATAATGATTTTTGCTATAGGGTGTGTGTGCTTGCCAAAGAGACAGAGACAGAGAGTGAGAAATCACCTCCAAGGGGAGCGGCCCCGCCACAATTCCTTCTCCTCCATTCTCCTCTGGCGATTTTGGGCACACATACCCAGTGTGAGTTTTAAGCCACCAGGTTTGGGGCTTGAACCTCAGTCGACTATGCGGGAGTCCAGCAGCAGGTAACCGTTATGCCATCTGCTGGTCTCTAATCATCCTTCTTTTTACCTGATGTGTTCAGGCTACTATAACAAAAATGCTGTATACAGGTTGGCTTATAAACAACAGAAATTTTTCATGGTTTGAAGCTGGGGAAGTCCAAGGTAAAGATGCCAGCCAGTAGAAATAGCCTGAATTTAATTTGTAAGATTTTACTATTACTTGAGTTACTATAAGCACTAGGAATTTTTTCCTAGTTTATGTACATTTCAGTAAGTTTATAACAAAAATAACACTCAGATTATAGTAGGGATGGTAATGCGAAGGATTGCTTTCAATCCTTTGGGAATCAAAGAACTCTTGTAATGCACACAAATGCATACTGATTCATTATACAGATTAAGAGTTTCATATAAAGTGTTAGATTTCCTTAAGATAAAACTGCATGAATTGAGGAAACTTTTTAAGTGTGTTGTCTTGTGATTTGCATGTTTTGCTTTTAGCTGGGCAAGTGCTCTGGATTACTCAAAGACAAAAAGTTCATAGGCACAGATAATATCTATTTTCCCCCCTCTTGTTCCCAAATAGGGACTATTCTTGTCACTGGCATACAATAGAATTATGTTTATGGATTTCTGTAGTGATTATTACTACCAAAAACATAGAGGATTTTTCAGTCAGAGGAAAATGAAATGATAAGAAACAAAGTTGCCCGTGGTTTCACGAAATCTGTCTTGCCTTAAATGAAATTATGATTCAGTTTTATAATTAGAATGAAGACTGTCATTATGTTTCTATTTATAAAATTTTAATTCATTTTTAAAAACTGAATTTGGTAAGCTTTTGCAAATTAAATTGATTTTCATTATATGTCAGAGATTCTACTGAGAGTGCTTTGTTAATCATCTTTGAAGTAATTTCTCTGGAGAAGAACCCCTTTTGAATGTGTAGGGTTGAAGACACAAAGCCTCCTTGTTGTCATCTAAAGGTTTGCTGAACATGAACTGACAAAAGGCAGATTAACAGGAGAAAGAGAAATGGATAAGTTTATTTAATGTAAGCAGGAAGAAAATCAGAGGAGTGTGATTATCCAATAATCCAATGAGGTGTAGATGCACATACACCCTTCTTAAAAAAAAGAGGTAAATAAGGAATGTGGACAGTTGTTTTGAGGGGTATACATGAGTATTGGAGAGATGAATGTGAAACTGGGTGGTAGCCAGAACCACACCCAAGTTGGCTCACCTCTCAAAAGCCAGTACTCAAGAGCCATGTGTTAGTAGAAAGGACAGATAGCTTTATTCAAGAAGTCAGCAACCTGAAGAAAGATGATGGCCTAGTATTCAAAGACCATCTCCCCAGTCCCAGTCTAACTAAAAGGGTTTTAAAGCAGATTAGGGGTGGGGTGGGAGGCTGCATGCTGTTTTGCTCAGCATAGCAGTTCATCCTTCTCTTAACTGATCCTCTGGAGAGACTTGTTAATGTTGGAGTTGTTATTTTCAACTGTAGTTCGGTAAGCTGGACCTGGTCATCATGGCAGAAGTTTTTTTGTTTTTTTTTGTTTTTGTTTTAATTTACTAGAGGGCATGTGCACTTGCCATAGAGAGACAGAGTGAGAGAGAGATGGAAAGTGAGATTGTCATCCCTGGGGAGATGACCATGGCACAATCCCTTCTCCATTCTCTCTGGATTTTGGGCATATATGCACAGGAGCCCAGTGTGATTTTCAAGCTCCCAGATCTGAGACTTGAATCGAGTCGGCCATGTGGAATCCAGCCTCCTTTACCTCTATTCCAACTACTGGCCCCTGGCAGAAATTTTGATCTTCTTGAGCACATCTGCTTCTTATGTTATAGTTTCAAGGCCTGGTCTCATTTCTTTACAGAATCTCAGCAAAACTATGCTTAGTTCCTGCAAGAAACAAGATTTATTATGCCAAAGAAAGAAAACTAAAGGCCAATTTACAGTATTTTAACGTGTGCTATTGGATTCAATATAGAGTTTTTTTTTTTTTTCCCTAGAGATTTTTTTGCTATTGGGCTCGTGTGTTCACCAGAGAGATAGAGAGAGACCCCAAGAGAGATGGCCATGCAGCAATCCCTTCTCCTCCATCCTCCTCTCCGGATTTTGGGCACACATGCACACATACCAGGTGTGAATTTTAAGCCAATGGGTCCAAGACTTGAACCATGTTCTACTAAGTGGGAGTCCAGCGATGTAATCATAACACCATTTGTTGTTCCCTCAATATGGAGTTTCTTTGGGTGTTCCTATTGTCCTAGCTACAAATGGATCCTGGAGATAAAAATTAATTTGTGATTCTCTTTGGAATTTGAATGGACAGGAGAGTCCAACAGTAGTAGCAGACAGGATCCATGTAAGTGTGGCTACATTTCGGTTTTCTTCCCTATGATAGTTTGTGAAATTTCAGGGAAGAGACCAAAGGTATTTGTTTTCTCTTTGGCAGGTTGGTGCTTAGACAGATAACAGAATATCAGAGTAAAGATTTCCATGCTGTGTGTGGTGGGGGTTAGGAAAGAGTCAGATAGACCTTGGGTTTTATTTTAGTCTGTTTCTAAGGCCTTTTAATTTCCTTTACTTCAAATTGTTCACTATGCCCAAAGTGCCATATTTGGTAGGGGGTGTATCGTTTTCCATGCCCCAACAAATCTGATAACTATTTATTGAGCTTCTACAATGTACAAGTCATTCTGTTAGTCATTAATGGTTCGTGTCCTGTTAACATTTAATTTTGTGCATATTTTGTGCATATTCATTGAGACATTTGAGTCTTTGGTTTTACTTGCAAATTTCATGTATTGCTTTTTTTTTCTTTCTAATAGGCTTTCAAGGATATGCTGTATTCAGCTCAGGACCAGGCACCCTCTGTGGAAGGTAAGATGAATTAACCTTGGATTCACAAAAATCAATTATTCTAAACTGTAATGTATAAAACAAATTTAAATACTTGTCTTATTAGAGATTTTTTTTGCTTTCAGTAATATATATTAGTATTGTATATTTTAATCCATTTGTATGTTTTGTGTGTGTTTCTAGCTTACATTTACCTTAAGACAGATCTTAGGACTGTGGATCACAGAGACTGGTATATTCAAAGTTCTTTCTGTGTCATGCATCTCTGATCCTTCAAAGTATTTTTATTTTATTTTGTTTGTTTAGTTTTGTCATAGGGTGTGTACAGTTGTGGGAGAGAGATATGAGAGAGAGAGGGTGAGAGAGAAAAAAAAAGTGTGAGAAATCACACCCCAGGAGGGATGACCATGATTGGAATCCATTCTTCTCTAGTCTCCTTGGAATTTTTTTTGGCATGTACATACCCCTGGGTCTGGGACTTGAACCATGTAGTCAGCCACATAGGGTCCAGCCATCTTAACTTCTTTGCCACCTATTGGCCCCCTCAATGTATTTATAAAGCCATCCATGCTTCAGTGAATCCTTAGTCTACAATTGGTTTGGGCAACATAACTTTTCCTTTCTATTTATGTTATGTCTTTAGAGTGAGACTAGTAAAACTATAGACCATGTTTACTCTGTGTGTGTGAATGTGTGTGTGGTGTGTATGAGTGTCTGTGCATGTACACAGTTTGTTATTTACGAAATGACTGGACAGAGGTCAGTGGTTCTCCAATTGTCTCTATTATTTTTCCCTTTCATAACCTTAACTTCTGCTCACCAACTCATTCCTTACAAATAAACTTTGATAAGTTTGGAAATATACAAGCTAAAGTTGAAGGTGTCTTGTGACAGTAAGTAATTAGGAGTTAATTTAAGAACTGTTCTTGAAAGTGTTTCTTCTGAGACATGGTATTTTTTTTTTTTTTATGTTCTGCATCCAGGGGCCATTGGTGGTGCGATGCAACTGGACCCGTATGGAAGGGTCCTTAGTTTGCATCCTGAAACGTCCTTGTACACACTGAGCATGGACACGTGTGCCCATGGTCTGGACTGGCTGAGGGTAGATCATGGTGTAGGGACCCTGTTTGGGGGATGCTTGTGTGTGTGCACATGCACACATGTGTGCATGTTTCTCACTCAGATAAATAAAACTTAGAGATGAATGTGAAAAGTATATACCAAGAATATTCTAGATTATGTATACAGAATAATATCTTTATGAGACACTAAATTAGTATATTTGAAATCATTCTAGTCACAGCGTATTGATTTCAAAGGCTATTTTAATGAAACTGAACAGATGCTGAAGTTGTTTAATCTATACATTTATAATTAAAATCACTTTTTTTTTTTTTGAGAGATTTTCACTATAGGGCACGTGCACTCGCCAGATAGAGACAGAGAGACAGAAAGCGAGAAATCATCCCCCACGGGGGATGGTCACGCCGCAATCCCTTCTCCTCCATTCTCCTCTCGGGATCTTGGGCATGCACGCATACGTGCCCGGCATGAGT